CCCCAAAACCCCAAAACCCCAAAACCCCAAAACCCCAAAACCCCAAGTTGGTAGGTTTTCATTGAAACTATTTTACCCAAAAATTTCATCAAAATTTGATGAGATTAGGAAGATTTCTTTACAGGAATCTTCCATACCTTGGCCAACCTCTTGGCCAGGTCCTTGGATTTAGCGTTAATGTTCAGATTTTTAGGCATTTTTAAGAGCTTGTTTATCTTGGCCAACCCTTTCTTGGTATTAACAAGACCTTTCTGTGTCATTTGATCCTTCAATTTGGGAGTAATCATGTCAGTCCAATCAAGTCTTTTAGACTCATTCTGCTTGATTCTCCTCCTTCTGGAGGTATCTTCACAAGTCTGGGGCCTGATTCTATTCCTAGCCTTGCTCTTGCTCTCTGTAGATAATAATCAATATGACTTACTCAGGAAGCTCTCAGCTGGATCAGTCAGAAAATCTTCGTTCCTCAGGCTTTTACAAGGACTAGTCACCGAATTAGACGGTTCATTATCCTCAATCTTGAACAGAGCTCTACTAGCCTTGGAGTTACTAGGCTTGGGGATGTCAATACTGCTACAAATCTGTGCGAAATTGTAGATAGACACTGTAGGCTCCCCTTCATTCTTCCTATCACAACTCTTGTTATCCATGGTCGAGTGAATCTCCAGCCTTGGCTGGCTATTATCTGTAGTGTTTCTACAGGATTAGGGCAAAAATACCTGGACGCCAGGTCTCGTGACGACATTCTTAAATACGAGCTGAACCTCTTATTTGCCTCCAAGCTGTGGCTTCCTTTTAGAGCAGCATGCATCCTGCTCCTCTTGCGGCTAAATTTAAGGTCAGGATTTATAGAGCAATCTTGTTGTGTTCTGAATGAAATTTTGGCTTAGAGATACTCGAGATTTCATATTTTCTAGAGTTCAGAAATGATCAGCTGTCTTCTTCTTCCCACAAGTGAAAGTTCAGTAACTATCCTTTAAAGAAAATATGAGAAAATTAGACTAGGAAGCCAATTCTCAGCCTTTAAAGTTATTTGATAACTATTTTTGCTTAAATGATGATTCGAGTAAAAAATTATCATAAATTTTATTCTTCCTCACGAATTCGGTATTAGAGTGCGAATATAAATGTCTGGTTCAAAATATTATATTAGACTATTCATTATAAGGTAGGAAATGGGTAATCTCTTAAAATTTGAGATAAAACTGAAATAATTGTTACTACAAGGTTATCATCTCTCAATAAGTTGATTGTTGGGAGATATGCTTAATAAACAGGAACTATCCATTTCCTTAAAATTATTCACCATTTCCTAATCAAAAATCTAGTTCTAACTCTTATAAACACCTCTAATCACCGCTCTGCTGCCTCCTAGAGCCGGTTTTGATACATTTCCAATAGCTTTCCCTTCCATCTTACACATAAGTTTTTCTTCGTGTTTTCTCCTTCTTTACTTCTGTTTGTTCCTCGACCCAATATACGAATGGACCTTTAGTCATAAAATTCTTCCTCTGTCTATTGAAGTCCATGAATAGGTCGAACTTGGACTTATCCTTGGATAAGATTATCTTCGAAATATGTCTCCAGGAGCCGAGCTGCTCTGTCTCGTTTGCTACATTTTAGATGGATGCGTACTTTCTTGAAACAAAGGAATCGTCAAGTAATTATTTTGTTCCATCTTCCTATAACAATAAACTTTTTAGTGTACCGAATTTGGGGCTCTGGAGGGCAATAACGGAATTCTGTTGATACCTGAGATCGACCTGGCAGAGTCAAAAGTCAAACTTACCATTGCTTGTTGCTCTTCTGAGCATCTCCCTCCTTGTCGTGTTCTATGGCATAAAAGTCATGAGCTTACATCTCTTTTACTAGTAAATGAGCTCTTCCTCTTCGAGCTAGCCTGATGATATGGTTTCATTACATATGACTCGAAGGTATCTGATTTATTGACTTCTCTGTATTTCCGATCCACGCTCCTCTTGCTTGCGAGAGAACTATCTAACTTAGACTCCATAGAGCTAAATTTACGATTCTTCATTAAAAGGGTCTTCTGTTTACCCACTATAGGTATTAAAACCTTATTTCCAAAAATGAAATTGGTAAAGAGTAATGTAAAGACTAAGAGACAATTTTAACCATGAAGATTGTACTTACATTTGTACCCTTTCTTGCCTTTATCAGGAGTGCTAGAAGCTACCCTATGGCTTTCACGTCCTAACTGCCCTTTCATTTCTCCGTTATATTGATTACAATATTTTATGAAACTAGTGGGGTTTTGGGGTTTTGGGGTTTTGGGG